CAGCTTGAGTAACTTTCTCAACCCAACCCCTCCAGGAGCAAGCTCAGAAAAAACACAGCAGCCACTGGTTGCCTGCCGCATCCCATGCGCAAGGGCTGCTTCGCCAGCACGCTTTATGGGCACAAAAACCATTCACCTGGCAACTCAAGAGGAGTTTCCACCGCATGCATTGGTGTACAACACCAAACTGGTGCCGCTTTGCGGGAGTGGCCGGGTAGGAGTCTACAAACCACACTAATTGGGAATGGGAAAATTGATAAAGCTTGCTGAGCTTTAGCAGTTCCTCCTCCAACTGCTGCCTGTGATGGTATAAAACGAATCACCTCCACAACAGCTAAGGGGAGAGCCTGCCCTGAGCACCCATGACAAGCTCCCGAACACCTACAGTTCACCAGCCACCACGAAGCAGCTCCAGCTTTTTTACTTCATAGGCTTTGCAGGAGGGAAGGAAAACACAGCTCTGGTTTTGTCCATACAAGGTTTCTTGGCTCAAAGAACTCGATCTGAAGCAAAACCCATACCTTCTTCATACTCAGGCTAACATCTGTCCAGAAAGATGTCCAAAGAAAAATTAAGTCCAGCTTTTTTTCCTCTACTTAAACCATGCAGCCCTCTAGCTCAATTCCAACACACAAATGCTGTAAATATCTGAAAGTCTGGTCAAGTTCTCTGTAACAAAACAGCACCCAAGCACTACATTAACTGAAATACGCACTCACAACAGAGAAAAGAATCCTTGATCCTCTGGCATTTCTCTACAAGGAGTAGTAATTCTTCGAACGCACAGTTAACCTCCTACCAAAGCCAAGTTAGCTCCTTCCTTCCCACACATGAAATACAAAGTGGTTTTGCTTGCTCAGAGGACCAGAGGCAGGACACACTTTCCCTGCCTGCCCACACTACCAAAATCCAGCCAAAGTCGCTGGCTCCCAGAGGTCATACACAAAGGGGTTATAGATGCCGTGAGCAAAATAACTTCAGCGAGACGTTAGCAGGCAAATGCGTGCACCAAAAATAAATGTAACACCAGCCTGTTCCATTCTGAATGGCACAGCCGCAGTGAGATAAAAGATAAATAAGCCAAAGATCAAACCTCTACCTCTTCGTAAAGGTTCTTAGAGATTGGGGTTTCTATACCACTAGCTGGGAATCTGTATCTGTAAAGCAAAACAAGTTCTTGTGAAACCTCTTTATGAAAGAATAAACCCGGAAGCATCAGCACCAGAGAAGCATCGCGCTGCACGTGCCCGCCTCTTGCGCTCTTCCCCGAGAGCCTGCAAACAGCCAGTGCTTTTAACAGGACACTGGCCTAGAGAAACCCTCGGACTGACTGAATGTGGTCATTCTTATTCAGAAGGAAGTAACATTTAACACCGACCTGTTTGAGCTGCTCGTCCAACCGCCAGTTCTGGCGTCCAGACGGGGAACCGGAACGTGGTTGCTTAGTAGTGTCTTTACCCTGTTCTTCTTTGCCCTGCTTTCCCCGCTGATGCCCCGAAGCTGGAAGAGGATTAGAGGTAGAGGCCACTCTTTGGTTGTGATGGGCAACTTTGGGAGCATGAAAATATTTCAGAGCAGAGCAGGTTTCTTTTCCAGTCATATCAGCACCATCCTCAAGATCTCCACCTTCCAAACCCCCTTCCTCCTCCTCCTCCTCCTCTTCCTCCTCGTCTTCATCCTCTTCTTCCTCTTCTGGCTCTGAATTCATGCTGCTCTGATCAAAAGACCGTGTAGCTCCAGCTGCAGGTGGGCCTCTGGCCAAGGCACCAACAGCGGAGCCGCCCGAAGCCCTGCCAGATGTGGCTGCTAGGACAGCCTGCTGCACAGCCAGCTGCTGAGTGTAGAGCAGCTGGGCTTCTCTCATCTGCCTCTGCTGTCTCTCCCTGGAATCCATCTGCAGAGGCGTTTGCTGCTTCTGCTGCTGCTTCTGCAGCTGCTCGACCACAGCTTCCAGCTTCATCCCGCAGTTTGCATGGCTGGGAAAAGAGGGGGGCGTTTTTGACTTTATCTGGCAGGGTTCAAGCCCCGACCTTGGGAGATTGGCAGAATCTGAAAGATAGACAAATATTTGTCTGTATGAATATAAAATGCTTTCATCTTTTTCCCCAGGAAGAGGATAAATAGAGTGCAAAGCCAATACTCTTTCCTGTGCAGGAGACCGTGAAACAATCAGCTTCATGTTTAACAGCCTCAGGCTCAAACTTGCATTCAATTTTCAGACTGTTTAATTGTATTTTCAAGCTGAACACATTTGGTATAACCTCAGTTTCATATACCCCAAAGACAGCATCTGAAATGCTTTTGTCTACTGTCCCAGCAGTTTTTTTTTTTTGTCAGAATCCTTCCACACTTTCTAAATAATTACTTTTGAAATGTTAGGTTTAGCGCTTCTGAAAACACTACCTTAAAAGGAGATAGCCAGGATAAGCTTGACCATATTTCTATTAAAAAACAGACAGCCATTTATCACCGTTCTCTCTAAATTCTTTTATGCTTTCAACATCAGTAAATTCTTCATGCTTTATAAGTCCTTCTTAAAATAACAGCTATATTTAGCCATTATTTTTCCCAAGGAGATACAGATGAGAGTATAGTGAAGACCACTGCAGCCTAAAACAGAGTGCTGAGCACCAAGCAGCTCCTGCCTCTGGTTCCCAGAGTTGTCAGCACATCTCAAGCCCTGGCCATGGCCTCCCTTCCACCTTCCCAGCCAAAGGACCCAAGAGCTTTCCTAGCTCTCCATTTTGACCTGCACCAAGCCCATGCTGAGCCAGCACCAGCCTCCTCTTGAGCAAAGACCAGAACAGACCGCAGTCAGAAACACAGCCCTGATCTAGAGTAAATCCTAGAAAGACGACTACAACTTTAATCCTCAACCATTAAAATCAGCATGTGTATTTTGGACTTTGTGTCGCAAACTGAACCCACCGACAAAGACTATTCTTCTCAGCTTTTTTTTTTTAAATGTAAAAAGATGCTTAAACAGATCCCACTTGCTGCCCTTCAAGGTTCACTGATATCAAAATACAGTGAGCTGAGAGAAACAAAGAAAAGGCCAACTACAAACAAGCTACAGTCTCCTGGCCACCTCCCACCACCCTGTTTACAACCTGCACTGTGCTATTGAAGCCACATACTTGAGAAAAGAGACTGTTGTAGCACACATTTTCAAAACAGACATAGTTCTGTTCTAAAACAAATAACCTACCAGATACCAGTTTTAAAAGTGAAAGACAGCTTCCAGCATCCCTAGTGCAACACCAAGTCCTCCTCTTATGTGGTCAGACCGCACATCTCCGGTACAAAGTGCCCAGGAGCTACAATGCCCGGATGCCCAACTCTTCCCTGTGCTAAACAACAACCCATCACTAAAATGAAAAGCCTGGGTGGTGCATTTGCATTTTTAGCTAGAAGGCTGTGGCATAGCTTTAGCTTGCAAATGAAACAATATAAAGTGGATTAGTGGTTTGAATGTCAGGAGCAATAATGCATTACCTGGCAGCTGAAAAGAGTCTTAGGTTCGTTTGGACAAGCACAATACACCATCTGGCCTAGCTCCACACACACACTTCCTCCAGTAAAGCAACAACGAACGGGTGCGGGTGTTGCAACAGCAACCATAAACCAGGCTAGAGAACCTATAGCCCACACCTCGCTGTATATTGTTGCACCTGAGGCACGGCAAGGCATCACCTCTCCTGCCTGGGGGATATTCAGCAGGGCGTAAAGTTAATACACACCTCGGGTACGTTAACGATAATAAATGACCTGATACTGGGATAACATGCCGAGCAAACACACCTCAGGTGCAGCAACACCCTGGTATGCGGCACCAGCCCATTTCCCGGAGTCCAGTTACAATAGCGTGTGACAGGTTACAGCAGGATTTACATGCTGCTGCCGAGGGTTTTCATCAGGGCCCGGCACTACCCTCCAAAATGATGAATTCTGGCTACAACAAACACACCCTCAGCAAGTATCAATGCTATTGTGGAGAGGCAGCCAACTTTGCAGCAAGTTGTAAGTCAATGAGGAGATACATGGCTCACAGCACGTAATTAAGCCATAGTATCAGGACAGTTTAGAATAACAACTGCAACTGGACAAACAGCATTAAACCATTCCAGGCTTTAACATCCGTTTTACCCCTCAGCATGGGTGTTTGCTAATGTTATGTGTCTCTCCCAACCAAGGCAGCAAAAGGATTTGGTTTAACCTTCAGGTCCTCACACACCAGCCTTTGTGAAGCTTTTAATCCCTCGTTGAGTACTTCAATTAAAAAGTCCCTCGATTTGCATTTTTAACTAGCTCTATTTACAGTGCAGCCGAGAGAACGCCTGCCTTCGCGCCACCAGCGCTTGGGAAGAGGTTTGGAAACCACCTGAAAGAGTTAAAGCGTCAGAGCAGCGGCCGAGGCCGGCCTGCCTCCCAGCCCCGAGGAGGGGAGAGGTCTCCCGGGGCGGTAAACAACTCCATCGGCGCGCGCCGCGCGCCCCCCCCGGTTTTACCGGAGGCTCCCACGCCCCATAAACACCATGAAAAATCCCGACATCCCTGAAGGAGGACCTGCGCGGCGGCCAGCTCCGCTCTCTCAGCCCCCACACGGGCC